GCAAGTAGATAAATCCGGCCCCGGCAGTCAACATTAAAATGTTTTCTGAAAAAATCGTTGTTCCCTAAATTTTGACGAGGAATTATGTAAGCAACTATTAAATTCAGGCCCTGTCCAGATCCATTTCGTGAAGCATCACGAACCGCGCTTCGTTGGCGAGCTGAACCCGTGGCCTTTTCTACCCTGTTTACTAAGTGAACTATCATAAAAAGCACTTTTTTTATGTAAAAGCAATGAGCTCGCGGGGGCGTCCGCGTCGAGATATGCCCCTGTCAGCAACCGGGAGTAATTTGATTAACTGTTTCAGATAATCTTCTTCACGCCGACACCTTTCAACAGGGATGTCAAGTTCGATCGGAATAACTCCGCAAAACGTGCTTTTTGAAATTGAAGCACCCGCAAAAAGCCAGGGATTGGATCAGAGATTCATTCCCTGGAAGAATGTTAGCTTCCACCCAACAAGGTCAAACTATTATACATAATTCTTAACCTCGGCTCTGTATTATTTCATCCTCAGCGTAAACTTGGCTATTTGGTGTGTTTTATTCAGCGTTGTCATGACAACTCAGAATCACTACTACCAGTGCGAATTGACCTAATTATCACAAGCGAGGTGTAAATAAACACCGGAGAAAAATCCGCACAAAAAATTAAATGAGTTTATTTTTCGACGTCGGAGGCTAATGAATGGGCGGAGAGGAGGGTGGAGGTAACTATTTCCTCCAACCCCCACGGTCCGCTAGGAATTGTCAAGGAGGCAGGGAAAGGGGAACTGAAGTGAAAGCTAGATTTTTCAGTTCACTGAACTCTAAAAACATAACTGCTCTGATGTCCGTCCTTCAGCGTTGTGTTGCGCAGTTACTTCATAGCGTTGAAAATTATTGAATGGTTTTATTTATCAGAGATGTGAAGCTCCGTGAATTTTGATAAAGGCTCCACTCATTGTGAGAAAATTGGATCTGTTGAAATAGAGAAAACTGTTTTCTCGGTCGTTTTTCTTCGCAAGAAGGAAAATACCCTTTTCATCAAAGAAAAACAAGATTCATTGGGTCAACGGAGTGATTAGGCTCTATTATTGGCCCTTTCAAAATTGTCTCTAATAACCAAAAATATTTCATCATGATGAGTGAATTCCTGTTTTCATGGCTTCTCACAGTCAGTCACTTCCTTGACACAATGAGTATATGGTTTTCAGAACAAGGAGAGGTTGCAGGAGACTTTTTTTTCAGCTGAACTTAATTTAGCAGTAACTCGAGTATTTAACTTGATTTTAAAGGTATTTTAAACGTTTAAAGTATTTTGTGGAGTAGTTTGTGCTTTACACTTTCACTTGTTTGCCACGCGCAGTTTACCAAAAGCAGTGTTGAAAGACTTCCGAAATGAAGCAGTACCACGAACAAGAGCGAGTACCGATTCACATTAACTTGCGATGAAAAGATATCGCAATAAATATTAGTATTTATGAGTTTCTTGAGGTTGAGAAGCTTTGAAGAATTGAATTACTTAATCGAATTTTGCGACGTTAGGTTTCTCTTACTTTGACACGTGCGCCTGCATTATTAACCTTTGAGTGTATTCACCCTGGGATTGGGGAATCGTGTGATAGCGAGCAAGACTAAATTTATTTCGTCGGAGTAAAGTTGCCGTTGAATTACAAGTCTCATTCGGTTCCCCTGATTTATTAATGAGTAGCTCAGAGATTGGCAATGTCAAGCACTGAAAGTAGTTAATTACTTATTTAAAGTTAATCATTTGTTACTCCTCAAGCCCATTTCTTTTGAAAAGCATTCTAACCTCAAGTTCAAATACGATTTGATTTCAATAGAGCTGTGCGAAGCGTGTCCCTTCCGGCACTTTCTCTCACCCTTCAAAATCCCAATGAGTTCCTAATTCTCAAACTGTACGATTACTTAAAGCTTAATGGGTTAGTTACACGTATTGCCTAATCGTGGTTGAGCGGCTTCGATTCGGAAGGTCCATATCGACGGGGTAAGCCCGCAATCACACATCTCGTTTACGGTGTCTAAAAATCTCAGCCTCTATGTTATTTTTTTAAAGGAGAACAAATTGACATCATTCCTTGAAGTTTATGCAGAATTTTCTTGGCATAGAGAAGAAAAATCACGGCAGTTTTAAACAATTGCCGTTGAGTTGTTTTCAGCCTAAAAAATAAAGTATGAAAGGAAGTTTGCGACGTCGCAAACCAAGTTATTGCCGATTTACACCTTCGATATGGTGCACATTGAGATTGACATAAAACATAGCATCACAAAAAAGGTGATTACCACGAGTTTCCAGTAAAACTCATCGGTATATTTTAGAAGTGGCCCCTTGCGAGGGATTAGAATGATTTTCTCCTACGAAAAATTGAAAATACCGAAGAAAAATAGTCCGCATTTTAGAAATATTAAGGTAGATTCTGACTTGCATTTAAATTGTGCTAAATTATCCGTATTTTTTCATTTGAAGTATTGCTTGTTCTAAAGTAAACCAATAATAATCATGTAAGGCTTCTTTTGCATGAGATACATACATTCTACGACTTAAAAAGTTACAAAAATAATACTGGGACAAGGTCGACTATAAGAAAAAAAGACTCAAGAAAAAGGGGGAAAAAGTGCCTAAAATTGTGTTTTTTCCTGCTTACTGCTAAAATTGGGATAAATTAGTGTTTAAGTGGTAAACCCAATTACTACAGACCCGATTTCCCAGCGGAGAAAGCCACGACCTCAAAGCATGATTGCCGAGCTGTCAAAAATTCCAAAATGCATACGTCAGTAGGATTAGGAAGCTTTCAGATCCAGATCTCGTTTGCATGTCTTAAGGCGATAGGTACGAATATGCTATCGTATTTAGTGACTGTTGTGCAAGCGTTTGCAACCGCAAGAGATCTACGGATTTTCTGATTTTGGAATTGAAAAATATTCAAAGATTCATTTTCTTTATACATATCAACACGATTTTAGATTTAATTGTGGTGTATTTATGTACGGGAACTTATAACCGTAACTTAAAAAGGACTTTAAAGAAGAGGAAAAATTAGGATACAAAAAATGAAATTTCGTTTCAGGCCCAGAGGCAAGGTTGACTGGCAGGTAAGTTTCCTCCTTTAAGTTTGGAGGAAATTAGGCAAACTGAAACAATAATTAGTAAACATAATATCTTTACTTTACAAAATAAATAAGTGAACAAGAGTTATATAACACATTAATGAATTAAATTACTAACAGTTTTACATGAACTAACAATAAGTACAGTGTTTATTATACAAAAATCTTCACAACATAGATTGTGATAACAGAGTGACTGAACAGAACTAGAAAAAAGTTTAAGTTATCAGGTCCAGTCATTTTTGCTTATTTTATTTTTATCCGTTTTATATCTCAAATTTTTTTAAATGTTAAATTTATTTCTAGGGAAACTTTCGGTGTCTTCCTACCTTCATGCTAATTTACGTGTATCGGTGTTTTTTTAAAAATAACACTGTTGCATATTCTAAACTCGAAAGTTTGAATATCCGAGGATTGCTTTTTTCAAGCGAGAGAGTGCGAGGAAATCAGTAAAAAAAACTAAGTACGTCTATGTGCAAACAAAGGAAAGTAGGTAAGACATAACGAGTTGAAGGATTTCTTAAATTTTCCAATCAATGAAAAACAAATCTGTTAACCATTGACGTTCATTATAACTCGTCGTTTCTGCAAAATTACGGGGTTGACATGCTTAGCTCCAAAAAAGGAGCTTCAATGGAGATTTAAGTACCATTGAAATGTCCCAGATAATTCTACAACTCCTGTACTACTATGTTTCCCGAGTGCAATTATGTAGTGTATCTTTCCGTGAGTTAATTTACATAATTCTAATTATCATCTTGTTTCTAAAATAAAGTGAATACTGATCGATCAGGTAGAACAGAGGTAACGGACGGTAAGAAAATAAGGAATCGACACAATTTAAAAAGGAAGTTAGAAGATCCGTTGGAACTTTTCCACCATGGAAATGAAGAACGCCGTATAAGCCTTCATTTTTTGTCAACATTCCTTTAATAAATCGCAAGTTTTTGGGGAAACTTTTGGATTTCTGTCCTTCAATTTTTCAGGAATTTTCACGAGCAATTTTATCTGAAGTGCCTGCGACTTTCGAGAAAAAATAGCTAACACTTTTCTGGATGATCAGCATTTCCTCCAAAGAAATTTGGCAATATTTAAATGCGTATGTGGCGTTTTTCATTAACATGGCCTCCGTCGCTTTTTCGAGGACGGAGAAACATTCTGAATTCTTCTCAAAATTCACTGCATATCATCGATTAGAGAAGCATAGCTTTTGTTGTTCGATGGATAATATATAAAGGGTTGCCATTTTTTAAAGAAAAATCTCACCTACTTTTCATAGCCTTCAAAAGAATATTTCTTCAAAAAATGGCAACGCAGTTAGAATCACGTTTACTGCCTGTAGTCACAGGGCCGGATTTACATTTTTAGCGCCCTAGGCGAAACTTAGGGTGGCGCCCCTAAGAGTAGGCGCTCTCGGGGGGGGGGGGGGGGGCGCTCCTTTCCTCCTGATCAGAAGGAGGATGTTAGGTGCCCGGAAAATATTCAAATTCACCTTTAAAAAAAACACGATTTTAAACAGTTTTGAGGTACGTTTGCGTTTGCAAGTTGGTTTTGGAAAATACGTTTTTGAATAAATTTTCACAAATTTTGCGCCCCTCAGAATATTGCGCCCTAGGCTACAGCCTATGTAGCCTATTGGTAAATCCGGCCCTGTGTAGTCACGCTTATCGATGACGTTAGCGCTGTACCTACGTAATAACGCCCTCCGTTTCATGACTGAATAGAGTTTATATTAATTAATTGATTGGACAAGTGTTACGAACAAAAAATTATTTGCTCCTTTTCGCCGGTGTAGTCACTAGCTCTTGACCTCGTGACTAATTTTTTTTGTTTTAGAAAAAAAAATCCTTCGAAGTTAATTTTTTTGTTCATGAATTATTTTTTTCTCTATTTTTACAAATCTCATTGCACCTGCAACAAGGATCAATGAAAATATACCTAATCTTCATTATGCAATAACTACGCGTTAAAATTAAATGGAAGCTTGCATTTGCTAAATCGGTTTTTTGATTCGTTTGAGAGGATTCGCAAATAATGTATTTATTATGATTTTTTTCTCAATCATCCTGGCCGCAAAATTATGGTCCATATTCACAACCAGGTTTCTTAATTGACTTAGCCAGATGCGTAGCTGAATCACCGAAGAGGTTGGCTGTGTTATTAATGACCAAAGCAGAATCCTGTTTATGTCAAGCGTAATTCTAGGTAAAAATGAGTTTTGGCTTTGCGAGCTGATCTTTTCTCTTGATGAAATTTTTGTTTCAAAGTGCTTATTCCTAAGAAGCTTTCATGGACATAGAGCCTGCACCGTGTTTCATATCGACCGTACCATTAAATTTGTTTGACCCGTGCTTTCGGCTTACACGACAAAATTTTTTCTACAGTTTGATACGTGTTACCAAAATCTTTTGGACTTATACAGGAATTTAACAATACGATCGATGTGAAACACTAGGACGGTTTGTACAGCCAATTTTTTGTTTTCATGTTGTATGTCCTGAAAAAAATCCATTTAGCTCTCTGTGAACCTCTGTTGGATGTCGAGTGATGGGTAGAGTAGAGTGTGTTTCACACGTGGTTATGTTTACATGATGACACATGGAGCAGCGCAGCAGAGAGGCAAACAGACAGGAATCGTTGTTGTGCCAGACTTCTCCTTTCGCCAACCACCCTCCTTGTACTTGTACTTGGACATCATTTTACCCTTCATTTTTCCACCGGCGCTCTGAAAAAAACAATACATAAATAGGCATCAACGAAGCTTTTTGCCAAACAGAATGAGTACGCTGTCTCATGAGGATTTGATTAAATTTTGCTGCCAGGTTCTACTTTTAGATCTACAAGCTCTGGATCCTATCAAAATCAAAACTTGAACTTAAAAGAGTCTTTCAGGAAGATTCATGAGAGTATTGGTATCACGTAGAATTCAATTGGATTAATATATGGAGGGAGACATTTCATCCTGAAGGTCCATAATGTCTTCAAAGCAGGTCTAAGTTTGAGGACAACAACACGTAGTCGTCAGAACAATACTGTTGGTTCCAGGTACAGTGATGATGACTGAAACTGCAATTCATTTCCATGACTTATTGTGTCTAACCCGAGGATGAACTTTGTGTCTTTGACAGGATATATTGCAGGAGAACCCATACGGTATGGTTTTTTGAAGCCAATCGATTTTTCCAGTATTATGGAAATATTTTCAGACTTTTACGCACCTGTTGCATGGAGGCCTCTACCTTGGCAGTGAAGAGTTCTCCAGGAGGATAGTAGACGGGAGGGCCAGCCAAGTTCTTGGATTTCCCCACCGTGCCATTGGCCTGAGGTGCAGGGTTCACAGCCGGACCAACCGGAGCTGGAGGAGGTGGTGTAGGAGGTCTCGGTTTCGGCGCATCGGGTAAGTCAATACTTTGCTGAAAAGGTAATGAATTTAAATTTATTAAGAGGTAAATGATCGATGACCTAGAGGCAACTCAGCTCTCGAAGGTTCATCCAAGTTCAAAGTTTCATCCAACAATTGAAAGCTGGTAATAGTCTCAAGAAGTGAAAAAATGTGTTTTTTTCCACTCGCTAGAAAAACTGACGCAAATCAGATAATATGAGTGTAGGCTGCCTTCACTCGAATAAGCAGAACCCAGATATTCACCCGGAAGTAAAAATAAAAAGTCCAAGCTACCAATTATTTAGTAAGATTGCTGCTTTCAACTTGATGATTTCAACTGATCAAAACTTGACACTTGCTTGACTGCGAAAGGTGGTTCAAAAGGATTTCCTCAGCCCCAAATAGAGAGCCGACGGAGCCATGGTGCGAAAAATTTCGACAACTAGGAGCGTCTCAGGATCAATTTTGACCCCCAGGATCAATTTGCACCCCTTGCTCTTTCCCAACCCCAACTTTTCCCCGAGCAACGTAATTTTTCTGATTTTCAGGAATTTCTCCTTCCAACCTCCCATTGAGCGCCCTCTGCGCCTTCTCCCAGGAGGGACCCAATCAAGGACCTTCTTCGGTAACCTGCCTCCAACTATTCTCTACCAAATGAGTAGTTTCGTCATAATGTCATGCACGATGATCTGTTTGGCATCCATTATCTCCCGTAACGTCTCATTCTTGACGCGATCCTTTCTGGAAATACCTTTGAATCTAACGCCAGAAGTCCATTTCTGTTGCCTCTTTAACCTCCCTTCCTCCTCCCTACATCCCATAAAAATGTTCGGGGTTGTTTTTTCCTAACCTGGTACTCGGAGTGGGAGAAGGAGGCCATGAGCTCCTCGACCTGCTTGGGCGGCTCCTGGTGTCCGGGGTGGGCCAGCTTGTCGGCCTCGGTGACCGGGAAGGGTCGTGGTTTCTCCGTCGTCGTTTCCACCTTGGTTCGCGACTCGTCCAGCTCGTAGTGGTGCGTCACCGTTGGCGGGTACTGCTTCCGCTCCGTTGACGTCGAGGAGTACTTGTACGTGATCACTGTCGGCTCCGGGCTACGCACCGGCAACGGCGAGCTCCTGTTCACACCTGCAGAATCCGGGCGGAAAATTACACAGTGCAAAGTATGAAATTAAAAATTAATTGATGTCAAAACGCCTTCAATTTTTCGCATATACAATACGGACATCCATCGAGCACGAATAGTTGCATTCAGGTGCTAAGATCGACTTCACGTCTCTCACTAAAAATTGATCGAGTCAAGATGTAAGAATGCCTCCAATTGTTCGCATATGCAATACGGACATCCATCGAGCACGAATAGTTGCATTCAGGTGCTAAGATCGACTTCACGTCTCTCACTAAAAATTGATCGAGTCAAGATGTAAAAATGCCTCCAATTGTTCGCATATGCAATACGGACATCCATCGAGCACGAATAGTCGCATTCAGGTGCTAAGATCGACTTCACGTCTCTCACTAAAAATTGATCGAGTCAAGATGTAAGAATGCCTCCAATTGTTCGCATATGCAATACGGACATCCATCGAGCTCGAATAGTTGCATTCAGGCGCTAAGATCAACTTCGCGTCTCCCACTAAAAATTGATCGAGTCAAGATGTTAAAACGCCTTCAATTGTTCGCATATGCAACACGGACATCCATCGAGCTCGAATAGTTGCATTCAGGCGCTAAGATCAACTTCGCGTCTCCCACTAAAAATTGATCGGGTCAAGATGTTAAAACGTTTTCGATTGTTCGTATATTGCAAATTTGTAAATGTTGCGTTCTTAAGTATATTTTCGGCTATCAAGAAAGTTCAAGGAAACTTAATTCGGACGCATGATGAGCTAGTTATCACCAAAATCCAGTTTCTCATCTAACAGACCTCGTATTTCAGGATCTAATAGATCGAACTATGTATTCTGTACTGTGAGAAGCAGGTTGATCTTAATTTGACGCTCCTATCGATATTTGTTGAACTATGTAAATATCCGCTTCATAGCACGAGAAGATGTTTATGACCACAATGTTTAAGCCCCATTTATGCTTGATCTCCACCAAAAAAGGATGTATATTTTCACATTTTTTTTTTACTCAAGGCAATTTACTTTATCTAATTTTTCCTATTTTATTTAAATCCTGCAAGCCAGGGAATGGTCTACTCGGTGAATATGTCTTGTAACATGCATTCGAAGCTACGATATCAGTGGCAAGCGTGATATTATCACACTGAATGCAAAGTGTGCCTGGGTGGGTAAGAATATTCAGTTATCCTTGAAAATGATGATCTTTGTTTGATGAGAATCAAGCAACGAAGCATGAAGTTTACTTTGAGAGGGGAATTAAAAGTAGGACAAATTATTTGCTCCGTGAAAAAAGCGGGTGGATACTTTTCTTGGAAAGCAGAACGGTCCATAAAAATTATTCGTTGCAGGTATTGTCCAATTAGAGTTGTGTCGGATTTCTTAAAAAAATAAAGAAAAGAGGAAAGGACCATATTATAACAATTGTATGAACATAATTGCTCAGTTTCTCTCTTCTAAAAAGAGCTAAATTATACAAGAGCACAAAAAAAATCAATAAAAAAACCTTGATTTATACTGCCGTTAGATTTAATTTTAATACCTCAATTATGAACTGTTTCAGAGTCATAAATATTAATGCATGCATGTGCATTACAATAACATAAGGTGCTTGAAACATATTTATTAGGTGCATGCGTATAAATGTGCGCGTCTGTACGCGAAATTTTCACTCTTACGTTGTTACGTTGTTCCAAAATATTCAGCAGGATTGTACTGTAATCGTCAGAGTTACAAAAAAAATTACTTTGGTAATATTATTAAGTAAATTTTAAATTCAGCAGAATGACATTTCTTGGAAAATAAATAAGAGCATGGCTAACAATTGTATGATATTTGTTGAATTTTTCTATTCTTTTTTTCATGAAATTGTGTTCGCAGAAATAAACATTACGGAAACGATAAAATATTTATGTATAAGTAGAGAGAAATAAAAGTGTCAACAGCAACTTTCTGATGATCGATTTAGTATATACTTTACGATTATTGAATAGGTCACTTTTAAATTCAATTTTCCCTCATTTATTTTCATTACTTAAATTTTCAATTTGTAACTCCAATGTCAGGACGGTGTGTTTCATACCGTTCACAATCGGTGTTGAACCTGTCAATAAAATTATCTTAATGCTTCCCTAGCGTGAAAAATGCTTCACCACTTACGTCACAAAAGAAACACAGAGTATTAATTTCTGAAGCCTGTAAGCGTGAGTATTTTTAGCAACACCAATATTCCATCCTTGGTTTTTCCTATTTATTTTCAATGAAATATTAAATCATTTTAACACGTAAATCTGTAAGCATCAACGTTGAAAATTCAAGATTTTAACTGTTTTTTGCTGGAAGTTTTTACTAATCTCACACCCACCATGGATTTGAGTGTGACGTTGATGCGATATCAATTCATTCTCGTAATCGCATGAAATCAACAAGCACGCGAATCTCCATTCGCAGGTAGACAATGATAAAAACGTTCATTACACGAGGGAAAAATTTACTTGAATTTAACCCCAAAAAGGTGTCCTCGTGAACCAAGAATAAAATTGGTTGAATCAAGAAGGTTTCTTTTTAATGCAAGGACTATTTCTCGACAAAAACATCTTTTCTTCGTAGTTCAAGATGATTTTCTTCTTAACGACAATTTTAAGAATACTTCTGGCTAGGCCAAGTCCCTTTTTTCGGTGTAGCATAACATATACTAATTACGAGCATTTTGACCCTGTGTTCCGACGACACTCTCACTGATGTTAAAACGGCAACACCGCATCCCGTTTTTATGTAATCACAGATTCTCAACGGAGCGAAAAAATAACGACAAATTATCCCTGTGCTCTCGAAAGATTAATCAAGTTTTTCATTGATAATGATGCCTGCAAGGTAGGATGAGGAGAATGCGGGCAGGCATTTCACGGAGTGGACCTACTAAGTTCTTTGATTGAAAAAGTTAGGGTGCCGCAGCTTAACCTGCAGGAATCTTTCGAGGAGTTTTAATTGATCGCTTTCGGAGTTCGTGGATTCACCTCTAACTTGCATACCAATAAAAATTAAGGACGCTCGGACTCCCTTGGAAAGGCCGTGATTCTCATTCATCAGAGATGTGCCATGGCTACTTTCTCCGGGAAGTAAAATACTGGGACTCACCAGGTGATTTTTGTATTTTATTTTTTCAAATTTGATTTTAAACCCGCGCTGACTTCAGCTTTCATAGGGACTTAAAATCATGTTCATGAGATAATAACCAGGCCGAGATTAATGCATCCGATTGGAGTTTTATTGATGAAATCGAAAATTATACATCGTCGGTAGCGACAATTCTAAAATGTAAGAGTAGCTTGAAAGGTTTCATGAATCGATCACCTTATTACTTCCAGTTAGCCTACGATACTGTACATATGAGGTTGGCTCGACTATACTCGTTGCAATCGCACGCACATGTGTGCGACAGCAATTGCCGCGTCAAGAATTGAAGGAGTTTTTATCTCCAGTCAGAATTCCTCGACTAAGTAATCGGTATATAGGGAGACAGGGACTACCTGATCGTTTGATTCTTCCGACACTAAGATTATTTTAAAGAAGAAAAATGGGCAGTTTTAAAAAAGAGCCAGCTGACTTCAATATTTTACGATGCTTGGGTGCTTGTCTGGCTATAAAGGAAAATCTCCAGATTATACTGTAATAAATTATCGAAAGAAATTATTTTGCTACTACGATTTACAACGATACTATCAATCAGGAAAGGGTGTAAAATAGCTCCAAAAGTACGGCCCGCATCCAAGTGAACATTGTAAACAGCAATGTCTCTTGCTCTTGACTTCTGATTTTCACTCATAAGTGACAGGGAGTTTGAAAAGGCGGGGGCGAAAAAAATACTTTTCCTCTCTCTGTTTTCCCTCGTGAGATTTAATTTGAAAGATTGTAATTAAAATTTAATGCATCGACAATGACGTCAAAACATCCGCAAGGACAAAAACATAGGGAAAGAGGATGTTTATTTTCCTCCTTTTTTTGTACACTTTTCCCTCACTTTCTCAAATTCTCCTTGTAATTCACAGGAATGTAAGGGCTTGTTCCTTTTTGTTATTGTCTCTGCGCGTCTTCTTTTAAATTACCTACATTCATTTTACACATACATTTTTCATACTAATGGCAACTTTTTTTCCGAATGATTTGTACAGTAACCTAATATAAACATTTTGAAAATCGCGCTTTGGTCAAATTAGACTGAAGAAAAACTGACGATAAACGTGAAATAAATTAAATAATTGAATGATACTCAAGTAATTAATTGCGACATAGCAGGAAAAAATGTCATTAAAGGTGGAAACTCAAATTGTTCAGTGCAGCAATAACCCCGCTTCGGGGTGAAAAAATATCAATTTTTCAGTTTTCAATGATACACTGTCTCTATTACTCTCAAGGACATAGAGTCAAAGTTTCAACCGGTAATTTGCATGATAATGTTTTAGACGTTTGAAACGACCTGTTTCAAAAGTTGACGACAGTGCCGTCAAACTTCAACGACGTTTGTCTCTTGTCCCTAATTTTTCATCCTCAAACTTTGCATCGCTGCCAAACTGTCATTTTTGTGTACTTTGCGCCAAACGATGCCAATTCAAGCTTTGTAAAGCAGCGCGGTATAGTTACCCTAACTCCTCCCAACCTTAAGACAGGTAAATTTTAAAAGTAGAGATGATGATTTCGCCAACGTGCGTTAAAATGCAGTAGAAAACTGAAATTCTCGGTACAGAGAGAAAAAAAAAAACTCTTTCCAGCACAAATTTCCCCAATCGAAAATTGAGCTTAAATGAGTTTTTACCCTCTGTAATGAGAATTTCAGTGTATACTGAACTTCATCAAACCTTAGCAAAACCACCAACTCTCTTTGTCAAAACGATTCGTGCGTCGAGCTGCTATCAGTTTTGTTGAGGCACATTTTGTCCAACTCCATCACATTCCTTTGTTCTCCTCACAAAAGAATGGAACTACAGATATTTCAATGTTGCAAAATACCTCATGGTAAGTTGCATCTCTACCAGGAGAATCTAGGGCAAATGTGAATGAAAATTTCCCTGGTTTTTCTTCCCACGCAAGAATAAGAAAAATGTCAGAAAAAAATTGCACAGGTACATTCGTTGTCTGAGTCAAGTTTGCAACCTTGAAATATAGTTACGATCCTTCGTCCACACGGAGAAAAAAACTTCGTGCATGGGACCCGAAGTTGAAGTCATATGGATCTCTGAAGTTCTCTGATCACGCATCCGAAAACTTGAGGTCGAGCTGCCGAAGTTCGGGTCAGACATCGAGGCACTTCGGTGTGTACCGGAGTACTTCAGATGTGTGAACCCAAACCCTTCGGTATACATCGAAGTACTTCAGATGTCTGACCCGAACTTCGGCAGCTGCACCTAAAGTTTTTAGATACGTGATCCGAAAACTTCAGAGATCCATATGATCTTAACTTCGGGTCCCACGCACGAAGTGTTTTTCTCCGTGCAGGAAACGACGATTTGTCTCTGACTCCATCACTATGCAGTGCTACCATGATAGCGAAGAGAGCAGTAAGTCCATGCTGAGATGAGCCTCGAGACACATAAAAGCATGTGCTAACCATGGTTCATCCAGGAATGCACTTACTGCTCTCTTCGCAATCACGACAGAGTAGTCTACCCACGTACCTCTTCGTATTGCAGGTTGCCTACCTTTTTCAAACGTGCTGTACGACGCGATGGTCTGGTTGACGTGCGGGTCCGGCGGCTGGGCGAAGGAGACGGGCGACGGGGAGCGGTGCGGGGGCGGAGTTCGGGGCTTCTCCCTTACATTGGTCGTCGTCTTCTGGTACTCGTACTGCTGCACCGTCGTCGGCGGAGGCGTGATCGGTCTATAACTATTCGAAGTCGTTGTCTTCTGGTATTCGTACTGCTGCACCGTCGTCGGCGGAGGCGTGATCGGTCTGTAGTTGTTCGAGGTCGTCGTTTTCTGGTACTCGTACTGCTGCACCGTCGTCGGCGGCGGCGAGACGGGTCTGTAGTTGTCGGAGGTGGTTGTCTTCTGGTACTCGTACTGCTGCATCTTCGCCGGGGGTGAAGGCGTCGCGGGCAGAGCGTAGGTCTTGTCGCTGCCGCTGGAGGTGGTCGTCGATTGGTAGTCGTAGTGGTGGACCACCTTCGGCGGTGTCACGGAGCGGGTGGTTGTCTTCTCGTAGTCGTAGCGGATGATCTTCTTGGTTCCGGCTGTCGGCGATGGGGTGCGCTCGCGGAGTGAGCGGCCGATCTCCTCCGCCGTCCGGGAGGACTGCGAGCGGTAGTCGTAGGATTTGACGGTCGATGCTACTTTGCCGTTGTTCGCGGCGATGAGGTTGGAGTTGCGGATGGGGGAAGGTGAGCGATCTCCGCCGCGGCCTGTGTGGAAAATAGGGATGAGTAAAGACTAGAACGTTGGCCGTCAAACATACGCATCATAAGCTTGACATAAAGGGGTCGCATGATACAGCGCTTGGTCATAACTCTACATGGGGGAAGATATCGGTGGGCTTTGACCCTCATCTGATTAAAGTCTCTTTCGCATTTGTCGTTACATTAGCCGTAATAGCTTCCAATCATTGACCTGCGTGAAGTTCAAGTTGGAAACCAATAAGAAATCGACCTTGAATATAGATACCCTCGGCCAAAGGTTAAGACCCCAAGTGGCAAACAATAAGTTATGTCGTGGATTACTGTATCCATGTTCTTACTACCTATTTTTTCTCCCTCCCGTCCCCCGTCATGAAAATCCTTTAAAGCGGAGAAGATCAACCTGTGAGAGAAATGGGGCTGAGAATGGTAAGAGCGGTCGCCTCCTCTTTTAAGCTCCTCTTTGATATTCAATTCAGTTACTTCGAGCGTTTTAAATATCGAAACGCTCTAACATAGGTTTGTACTATTATTTCTTTTATGTCATGTCAGTTATCAAGTTCATTTTAAATTTCAGATTTATGTCTAGGTCTTCTGATTTTTACGCGAACAACTAGGCCGTCTTGTCGTTAAATAACTGACTCAAGAGTTATTGAGCCTTAGTTTTCGTTATCGTTATAGACTTACGTCAGACATGTGCTTTTGAAACTATAAAAAATGAACGTTTCATAATTCTTTTGGGGCTTCACAGTCAAATTCCATGACCATTCCAATAACTGCTATTGTTAAAAGCTCATCGGCTGATATTCTCCTAAAACTCAAAATAAAATACGCACGGCCCAAACACTTCGGAAAACACACATTTTTTCAGTAAGATTCTGTTTTATTTAATTCTCAAATAATGGTGACACATACTTGATTTTCACTATCAAGCTGCAGTAATTGCGCAAAAAAATTATTGAATTTTTAAAGTTTTTATTTAATTTGGAGTAAAAAAAGGAGGAAAGAAAATAAAAATCCCTGGGACATAGACCAAGCTTGTGATGCTTCTGTTTGAAAACCAACGATCGTCGTTCGGCCATGCTAATAAAATAAATCTTCCCTGACCTCAGAAAGAGCATACTTATTTTTATATTTTTAGTCACTTCAGACAGGGTCTACTTTCCTCATTCTGAAGTGCTCCCTCCGGATTGTGTAAACAATGCTGAATAAGTTGGCAATCGGCACCTGCAGAGGGTGGGATTGTTTACACAAATATTTTGTTTACTTTTCTCGATCTTCGTAAAAGCAAAGAATAGATGTTTCACGAGTAGATGCGTTGCTTGAGAGCAGAGCCTGATTTCGAAACATTTTCGGAAATTCATTAGGTAAGGTTATCTACTAATATACATTTACACACTGGAAAAAACCCATTGGACCTAGAGTCCAGACTCTTGAAAACATCGACAAGAAAAAATACTCTTAATTCAATCGGATTTTTGCTTAATTTAAGAACCAAGCCTCTTAATTTGAGCGGATTTCCTTTTGATTTAAGCAAAAATCTGATTGAATCAAGAGTATTTTTTCTTGTCAATGTTTTCAAGAGTCTGGACTCTAAATCCAACGCGTTTTTTTCCAGTGCACAGTTAATATAGACTTTGTTTAATGGTGCGAAAGTTACGTTTGTGCAGTATTTTATACAGAATACATGTAATTTGTTCTTGTTATGCGTGCATGTGCGCGCGTGATTTTTCATTAAGACATGCCTGTATGAAGCAAACAATAAATCTGAATCGACCAGAAGTTTCCATAGTCGATTGAAGTCGATTGGAGATCTTTTGTGAAAAAAAATGATTATTAATCATCAAAGGAAACTACACAGTGGCAAAGTATGATAATTTCAACTATCTCCTCAGCTGATTTTGGCGCTAGCCAGAGATGTAATTGTACTAGCCACAAAAAGGGTTGAGTTAAACAGAAACGTGATGGAATCAACTACATCATTCCTCAGGCTAGTGCCCTTCAGCCAAGAATATTTATGTAGTTGAAATCATCGTCCTTTTTTCCGTGATAAGCATCTTAGAATACACTTCGGCTGAATTTTGATGAGGTCATGAATAGTATTTTTCACTACCTCTCCGAAAGCCGTATTAAACGGTACAGTACTGTAACACTCGAAATTGGTCCATTACAACTTAACTCTCTTCTCCTCTATACTACTTTCTATAATCCTTCCTTTTTGTTTGATTATTCTTATAACACTTGCATTGTATTTTGCAACAGAAAAACTGACGGTAGTAAGTTTAGAATCTGTGTTGCTTTGGTGGTTATTAGAGAATATAGTTTTCATACTTGTGGTCCTGGATTCCTGGAAGTAGACCTCCTTGTGCCTGACGGGTGACGGCGATTGGTCCCGAATGGGCCGGGTCAGGGACCCGTCTCGGGAGCTGTTGCCGACGAATTTCAGTTCTCGCCGGGTTTCGGAATCGGTACGCGGGGGCAGAACCGTCCCGTAGCGCTTTTCGTGTTGCTCCTCGAAAGTTCTCTGTTCGATCCGGGAGACATGACCACCCACCCGAGGAGAATTTGACGACTCACTGCAAAAAGAAAGCAGGTAGGGGATACAATGTCGTTGGTAATTTTCGCTAAAAATTTGTGAGCCAGCGGGCCGATTATTGAAACTGATAGACAAAGCGATAGACAAAGAAGACGTAGGAAGTGAAGAGCGATCCTATTGGTTGACATGGTTGGTTCTTATAGACTAAGGAAGAGAATGATGATGGACTAACTGGCGGGTCTTTGGTGGGTTGCCGTTAGTTAGTACATTATACCTACCTCCTATGTCCATTGCCACCACCTGCTTCCACCAATAGGATCCCTCCAAATCACTTTTGTTGTCTTTGCCTATAGCTTTGTCTATCAGTTTCAATAATCGGCCCGCAGTGGGCTGATTATTGAAATTTATGGACAAAGCGAAAGGCAAAGAAGACATAGAGAGTGTATGGAAGGTGTAAGTCGGCGATCACATAACTCAGTTTGCGACGTCGCAGACTTCCTGTCATACTTTATTTTTTAAACGGGAAACTACCTAACGGCAATTCTTTAAAACTGCCGTGATTTTTCTTCTCTGTGCGAAGAAAATTCTGCAATGGTTTCGATTTGTTTTCCTTTAAAAAAATGACAGAGGCGGAGATTTTCAGACACCGCAAACGAGATATGTGATTGCTGACTTACGCCGTCGATAGAACGATCCTAGGTATTGGTTGAAATGAGTGGTTCCTACAGACTAAGGGAAAATATGATTGACTAACTATCAGGGCTCTCGTGAGTTGCCGTTAGTTAGTCTATTAGTCTTTTTTCATTGCAACCTCTCACTTCCACCATAGGATTCTTCCACATCCCCCGTGTCTTCATTGTCTAGAGCTTTTTCTTTCAAATTCAATAATCGGTATAATACAAATAATACAAATCTTGATAATCTAATGAGCGTGCGGCTTATACGTCTTCTTCATGAATATGGTAATAAACAATAGACTTCATGGTAGCAAATACGGGAGCTCTGGTGGCATCATCCACAAATATTAATGATGCTACCAGATGTTTGGTTATCTTCACCCGATGGCATTCCACCGAATGAAACATCAAGGAGACATTATGGTAGAATTTATGATGCTTTTAGAATTTATAATACTTTTTTTTAGTGTTAGGCTAGGAATTAAACAAACCAAATTGATTTTTTCTGTTTTTGAAAAAATTTCAGCTAAAAAATATTCTCTTTTTCTGGGTGGGAGGCCATTTAGTTAATATAATTTTTTGACCTAATGGCAGCATATTTTTACTGAATTCTCGCTGTAGCTGTGTAGATTGGTAATAAAGTTAACATACTTACATTTTTTCGCGTAGCTCAGTGTACTGACTTTTTGGACTCGGAGTAAGCGCTGTACCTGAGAACATTGAACATGAACTATTAGCGTACACGTTCATATACGTAATTTTTAGGTTCTTCGATAGAAGCAATAAGAATGAAACCCTGTCACTCCTTCCTCAGAGAGTGTCTGAGAGTGTTTGGACGATCATCTATTACTTAAATTTTGTGTGGAAATTTACCATTTTTTTAGACTTTAACTCACCATAATAGTACAGAGACATTAAAATTATGTTTTTAAAAATATGTATTGGAAAAACAAACTGTTCCGTAGTTGTCTTTTAAAAACGAGGGAGAAATTAGGCGATTTTAAAAACGACTTTGGAACAATGTAGGAGATAAGTTATGATAATATTTGTGCGTTTACAATATGATTGAGAGTCACTTCTTATTCATCTTAAAACATTTCTAAATGAATATAAGTCATTAAAAACATCACAAGTTTAAGAATCATTTTTGATTAATTTGAAAAATAGTTTCCGAATATTTTATTAATTATTTTTAAATGTTTGTAAGAATTTAATTTTTAAAAATATTATTTATAAACGAGTTTCTCCATAGTATTTTTAAAATATTTTAACCTCTTATTTTCAAAAGGAAACAAAAAAAATTTAACATTCAAAAAAAGTTCACCGGAAATCCAGAGTATCATAATTTAGCAGAGTGTAAAAGTTGTTCTCTACAATTTATTCAAAGCAATACTCAAATGTTCCCTAAAAAAACATCTTTTAAAGTGTAGAATGAATCGTTTTCGAAAGAAAGGAACCTGTTTTTCGCTGTGCAATTAGAGGAGGGTCACTATTTTGCACTTGAGTTGGCGCGGGCTGCGCCAGGGAAATGAGTAAGCCGAGACGTGAGCCAAAGCATTTAAAAAATCTCGATCAATTAATCCAAAGGGAGAGCGAAAATTGCCCTCCCCCTCAACCCCCTTGCAACCCCTCCCCTCTCCGACCGCCGAGCCATGGTCCGGCGAACTTGAATTTTTTAAGTTGGAAATGATTGGCATTGAGCTTGCGCTGAGAAATTGGGAGATGGATGGATGTAAGGGTCTATTTTTAAGCACCTTATCCATCATGCTCGCCTCTACGGCCAACCTATGAGTCAGACCTACACCTCGTCGCCAACTCGCGGACGGTCCTATGTAACTTCCCATGGGGCTTAAAGTAAAAATGGAAAATTTCATTGTTTACGCCCCTGACTACTTCGCGGCCCAATCCCTCAAGCGCTTCGCGCTTCATAAGGCACTATGCATTACGCATTAACCTATTGATTTTTATATTTTAGGGTAATATATGTAAAACTGGGGACGCTATGCCGTCAAAATGAAGAGAAATAAGGACAATTTTCAAAGAAGAGGTATTGCGTAACGGGTCAGGGGAATCGAAAAAAAAATAGGTAAAGTTGGATGTATAAATGCGATAAGCAACGGAAATATCGCATTTAAAATTCCGGCAAGGTCGACTTGCCGAATTTTTACTCTCATAAAAGAATCGTTAAAAAAAGAAATAATTTTGTTTTAAAAAAATGTGGGGAATTCGGTATTCAAGAGGTACATGACAAAGTACATGTGACATGTGAAATCTTCATGCACAAATTGAAACATTTCTGATGGTAGTTTTTTTTTTTTTTCAAATTTCGCCAATCCACTTCTAATGCCATGTCCGAGTCCAATCCTCCAATCTCAAAAATTCACTAAAATTGCTGAGGTGCAAAAATCGGAAGTGACAATTCCGAAGCCACTTATCCGTACTCGGCTCATACGGATTGCATTTTGCAATAAGGAACTACTATCTCTATAGAAACAAATAAATGCCATTAGCTTCCCTATGCAAAAAGGTGATTTTACAAAAGAGCCAGAGATAGTGGTTCTTATTACAAAATGTAATTCATCTACATTCCTTTAATAATGCGCAAGGAAAGTTGGACATAGCTTTCCTGTCATGTCGAACACAGACATTAAAAGGAGAATGCAAGGTAACATTGTGGAGGCTTATCAAACATATCAAGCAGATGAATTTAAGTGTTGGTGTGTTTTTGAAGTGCAAGTGCAGTGCCCCTTACAATCTTTCCTAAAATAAGAATATCATCGAGAAATAGGACTTTAATTTACAAGAATTCAAACAATTGAAAAATATCAGAATAATTTGAGTTTTCGGTGCAACGATTCACTATAATTTTAAAATTTACAACTAAATATTGGTGCCCGATACTGTAGCCTTACGACTCAAACGAGAGACGTCAGAGAGTACCATCCCCCTAGATTCAACAGAAACAGAAAATTAAGACAAACTGTTAACAAAGCTCACCTGAACTGGCAAATCCAGTTTTATGTGTGATGTCCTCCAACAGGCTATCTAATTCGTTAATATTTTGTTTAAGTTTTGTGTCTGTGCTTTTCGTGACGTCTGAAAAAGAAGAAAAACCAGGCAGAAGCTCTAGAATCAGTCATTAACAAAGCAATACTACGGCCACAAGGAGAAACACCTTCATAAGCTTATGCGTGCACAAGTGTTTTCATGCTCGCAAATAAAACTTACCTACTGCCACAAAAAACACATTCGAGACCCCCCACTCCCCCCTTGATAATTTGTCATCTTCCCATCGAAAATTACAGTAACGCTCTTTGGGCTAAGGCAGGCAAAGAGCGCCTGAATTTTCGGCGATGCGTACTACCTAGCCAATACAGCCACGAGCGTACTTGTTGTAATTGGGCTATTAAGCAAAACGAGTAAATCTACAAAAATTAACTTTGAAAAAACGCATACGTGCCAAAGCACTACTATGTACTACACGTTGATTTTTAAAATTTTCTCTGCAATGAAAGTAGCTTACGAGTTTGTCGAGTTAAGCCATCGCCATTCCAGGTCCTTAGATAAGCAACGTGCGTACTGTTGGAAGAACATTTGATAGGGGAATGAGGCTGCCAAACCAAACATATCATTCCGGGATTGCCAAATGTTTTTATGCTACACAGTCCCTCTGAAGAGCGTATCTTATTTTTGAGCAAAAACGGGCAACGTTGTCCGATTTCTGTTCGGCACTCACATTTTGTCATGGCATTCATGCATCGTAAAACCCTCCTCAATATTTTCTTACGTTGCGATAGGTCATGGATTGGATTAATGTGGGATGGAGTAAAGGAGGATAGGGAGGCGGGGTACCTGTAAGCACATTGATGGCCCTGCAGCATAGAGATGCTTGATTGTGAATGTATGTAAGGAGTGTAAACTTTATTTGGGGAGATATGACTGCATAATGAATGGTTTCATTTAATGACTACACCGATATTTTGGGTGTATAACCTGATTTATTAATGTTCAAATTGAAATTTATGTGAAGTGCGAGGTACAACATAAATTTGTCATACTTTGTTGTTTCTTTACAAAACTAGTCAGCGCAATTCCTTGAAAACTGGTTTGATTCTTCCTCTCTGTTAGCAGAATATTCCGTACGGATTTCAGGCTATAAATGGCATGTTCTTCCTCGAAAAAATTAAATAAGAGCGGAATAATTTTGTTGGAAAATTCCCTCCAACTGTTCCTTTTGTGAACAAGGAAAGCAGAATCTCTTCGAGGGAATCTCATAGGGAACGAGTCCTCATGTTTGCGACAAAGGAAAGACACGTGACTATTCAAAGAAGGAATAAGATAAAATTCTTAGGCGGGGAATGGGAAACCGAACCCGAGGGAAACGAATTAGTCATTGCCATTTGTACTAAATTGCTCGGGTTTTGTAATAAAACAATTTGAAACTGGCATATTTTCACGGGAAAAGCAGCAACCGTGGGCTCATCGACGCCGCGGTGGAGCGGAATCAATAATCAATGATGCAGTTCTCGGCCGTAAAGTGGAAACTCTCTAAACAGTTCTTCTCTTTCAGTTTTTCTCATGTTGCCGCTTAGTATTCCTGCCCTAAATTCCTAATGTCTCATCATTATCACTCATCCCTCGACTTTCTTATACTTTTCCACTGTTCTCTCGTTGTTCCTACACCTTTTCAATATTTTTTTCCTGTCGCGTAAACTTGAACAGAATCACATCATGTCCAATCACATACCCATTCTGTCGTGCTAAGGAAGAACGTCGTATGAACATTCGAGAGTTGCCAATCTTTCCTGAATAAAACATGTATTTTTGAAGACAGTTATACACATTTTCCTTAAAATTTTCCGATATTTTAAATTTAGTTAAGAACAGAATTGTCTGAAAAATTTGAAGAAAAATATTCAGAATTTTCCCAGTAAAATCTTTGGTTAGTATAGGAAATTTGGCAACGTCTGACGACTCATACGACGTTTTCCCTTACGGCAGCATTGACTTGCTCCACTGCGTGACGTTTGAACGAACCTCATTAATGACCCTGTGACAAGCACGGAACTGACCCATCGACCGAAATTTTCGACGAAACTCATCATCTAATGATGCGACGAGAAGTTCGGAATCCTCTTCTAACTTCTGACCTTAGCTGGTTTCTGGGTCTGCGATGCAGGATAATTGCCAAATTGATTGAGAGCAGTGATGCTGAAATAATTACGGCGACGTATCAAGTCCTAAGCATGGGGTAACAGGGTTGTGGACCGGGAGAGGAGGGGGTGCTTGTCGAAGAGGGTCGGTGGAAGGGCTTAAATGCTCCGGCGAAAGTTAAGTGAAGGGTTACGACTGAACTCCTGAAATCTGGTTTGTGGCGCCTCTTAGCGTGTTCCCTTTCAGCATTCGTAGAATTTTAATAACGTGCTTTATCTCGCATTCGGCCCGGGTGTGCCGCTCGAAGCTCTTGCGAGCATTCGTCAATTTTTGGAGAACTGCACGGATTTTCCACGAGGAGTTGCCATATTTCTATCCTTGCTTGTGACGGGCCTCAAGACAAGGCATTTTTTCCTCCCGGAAAATTCTTCACCAACCTAATTGCACTGTTTGTTTAAAGTCTTAAAAAAACGTAACTTTTTTTTCATAGTATACGAACAAGGAACCTTGGTGTCATTGGATATGTCGCAGGCTAATAAAAGGACAAATCCGCTATTTACTCGAGTGCCTCGGCAAACGGTCAAACTTAATCGAAAATCTCAATTGATCATTTGCCGAGGCGTTTGAGTAAATGCCGGATTTGCCCTTATTCAGCCACAGATGTATATATACCACTAGGTTTAATGCGTGTGAAATTTTTGTTAAAGAAAAATATAATGAGAAAGTAATTTTAACTCAAAATTAAAAGAAAAACTGTTCTCTTCATGATGTTCCGTCGAAAACCTTCCAAATATTCCGGTAACGCAATTTAAACCATAATGAGCCTTTCTGACGAGAGATGGTAATTCAGTAACGACTGCTATGGATACACTCCCGAGGTCTGCAAAATCGAACTTTCAGCGATAAAAAGAACATACAGATAGCAACAGTGGTAGCATATTTTTTAATTCAATTCTAAGAAGAGATGTGGGAGGAAGTGGAGACAATTCCAAGAACACACGCGCTCTATGGCTCGCGGTATCAATTCATGTGTTCCAATATTATCAGGTAGGATTGGGGTCAAATTTTTGTAATATTGCGGAGAACATAACACTCTACCCAATGGGGTGCATCAAATAATATGGGCTTGGTCTTACTATCGTTAATGGACTTAAAATTGATCGCATAGAGAAAGGGTGCAAGAGTCCTCGAGAACAGATCACCTCTGCACCCCCTTCTCTCTTTCTCCACAAAGAAGGAGGGATAAAATCGAGTAATTGAAGATCAGGGCAGGGCCGGATTAAGGGGGTGGTCACTTGGGCCGCGGCCCATGGCGGCAAATTTTAAAAATTTTTTAAATGTAGAAAGGTATTAAAAAAAATCGGATTCAGAAAAAAAATTACAAACGAAAAAGGGTGCAAAATCTCTCATTTCCTAAGAGTATAGTAATTTCTAATTTTGTCGTCTTTTGGTGATACAAGAGACTGCACCTTTAATTAGTCGAGTCAAGAGAGGAACCAAACACGTAATTTGGCCTGGAACGGCGCGGCGCACATTGGTTCCAGAGCCCGATCTAGGCGGCATTAATTCGAAAAAATGACTTTTGGAAAAATTGAAAAATAGTACAACTGGTCGACACTATATACTCTGGAGGGTATTTCGGCCAAATATCATGATGATTGGATGAGTGATAAGGAAATGATAAGCTCCTAAAGGTGAGCGCGCAGGCCGTTCTTTCTGCGGCTGTATCCATTTCCTCAGTTATCTCATTCGAGTGATGTTCCTAATAGAGGTTTGTCGCCATTTTGGGCAAAGAAACAAGGTTTTGAATGTAGAATCCTAATATTCAAGTGAATTTGAAGGTTTACGATGTTTAAATCATAACTTTCTCTCTAGGCTCTAGATAAACCATTCGACATAGCGCTATTTTACGTTAATTTCGCGTAATTTTCCATATAAATGACTGAAAACAACTACTTTGCCGGCCTTTGCCGGGTCTCAAGCGGCCATTTCTAGTTAGTACTTATCCTAGGCATGATGTAGATATAAATATCTTTTGCCACTTTTTGCCTATTTGTGAAATACAGCCTTTTAAAGGTCGCCCGTTCAGCCCTCATGAGTGCTGTATGTGGGACGTTACGGGTGGGCGATATCGTTCGACCTCTCAGGCAATGTCAAAAAACTACTTCTTTCCATGATACTCATTCAGAAGGAAGTTTATTCAATCGGTTTTCCAAAGAATTACACAAAAATACCACTTCCACGGGCGTGCAAAACTCTGAGGTGATCAAAATTTTTCGTGTTAAAAATGATCTAATACTACCAAAACGGCCAAAAACAACTACTTTGCCGGCCTTTGCCGGGTCTCAAGCGGCCATTTCTAGTTAGTACTAATCCTAGTCATGATGTAGAAACAAATATCTTTTGCCAGTTTTTGCCTATTTGTGAAATACAGCCTTTTAAAGTCGCCTGCTCAGCCCTCATGAGTATTGGATGTGGCTCGCGTGACGGGTGGGTGATATCGTTTGACCTCTCAGGCAATGTCAAAAAACTATTTCTCTTATGATATTCATCCAAAGAGAAGTTTATTTAATCGGTTTTCCAAAGAATTACCCAAAAATATCATTTCCATGAGCGTGCATAACTCTGAGGAGATCAAAATTTTTCGTGTTAAAAATAATCTATACTACCACCAAAACGGCCCAAAACAACTAGGTACTTTGCCGGGTCTCAAGTGGCCATTTCTAGTTAGTACTAAGTAATCTTAGGTAGTAGTCCCTGTACAGAGACAAATATTTTTTGCCATTTGAAGCGAAAAAAATATATTACAACATTTTAAATTTAAGGTTGCTCTGGAATTAAAAAATCAACAGGCATTGCAGTTTCGTGAATTTTTTCCTGCTCACTGGTCAAAATGGTTTGATAGGGGCGACACCCTTTTATTGAATTTTTATACTGCCATTTCTGAAACTGCAACCAGAAGTAGATTCCAAAAACAGATCGTGCTGACTGGATGCTTCGTGAAGTTATTCAATGTAACAACACCCCCCCCCTTCAACAAAAATAACCATCAGGGTCTAAATATTAGTAAAATAGTAGATTGCTCTTGATGACCATAATCATTAAATTTGTCAAGATTATCATAGTTCAAGCACAGAGCCACGTTGTCAAATTATTAATCCCGTGTTGAGTGCAAATTTGCTATTTTACGCATATTTACCATATTATGGTTAACGATAGGGTCAAATCGACTTTAAATTCGTGATCAGCGACCCAAAAAACACATATAAGCATATGTTGCACGCTGGTAAGGGTGATATTCTAATTAATGCCGCCTAGATCGGGCTCTGGAACCAATGTGCGGCGCAGAGAGAAATGATGACGAGGACTTAAGATGAAAAGGAGAAGCTCTCAGCGCGGTGGTCGGCATGTAACGCATAATAGCACCTACAAGACTGCATGAATACTTCACGCATTGCGTCAAACACAGTGCGGTCAGCGTGAAACGCGTAGCGCCTACTAGACTTCATGAATACTTCGCGCATTGCGTCCCGGATGGAATACCCCGCGTAAGCTGCTCATCGTCGTCTTTCAAATCTGACTTATGGACTGGAATACGACAAGATGATCAAAACTGCGAAGGTATACGAATACAAGAGACAAATATCCGTGTAGTGACATTACCATGCGGCACATTATCTCATTTTGTAAAAAAAAGAAAAAAAAAACTTTGCGAACATACAGCTTGTGTGTTCTTCTGCATGAAGCGTGAAAATATTTTTGTGCAATGGCTCTCCACCACTCTGAGAAAATAACATCGTTTGCAGGGACTAAACTTAGGTTCATGTTTAGCACTGAGCTTTTCCAGTTCAGGTAAAAGAATTTTCCAGTCATAAGAACCGATATTATGGACTGCATTTTGCAATTTGGAACTATAAATTCTGGCTCTTCTGGAAAAACACTTAAATGCACAGGGAAACTAATGGCACACACGTTGTTTTTAAACCGAGCCAGAAGTTATAGTTCCAAATTGCAAAATGTAGTCCAATTTGGTTAGCCGAACCAAATTTTGGTTTCTTTGATCAAAAAATGTTGATTACCTGAAACGGAAAAGTATGGTGTTACTTTATTCTTCCGTGTGAGGGGATCCCACATTCATAGTGCATGTAAACAATGGGGTTCATTTTTTGCTGTAATTGGTTTTTTTGGTGGAGGTGAACATGCCAAAAGTTCTACCGAGCAATTTACCAAACGATAGACCCTCAAAATCTCGAAAAGAGAGCAGGGGTGGATACTGTAGAATAATTTGAATTACCTCTGGATGTATTGGTACTGCCTGTGTTGGATGTGTTGTATGTGTAAGATACGGATTTGTACGTGTTTCCACCTTTTGTACCGGAAGAGAGATCATGCTTGTCCTGTAAAACATGAATACAAAACATTCTCATTATTTTTTCTAAAACAAAAAACAAACAGACGAACAGATGAATTCTAGTGAGCATTCGAACTTCAACCCCTTTCAAATTAATGCTCTTTAATTACAATAAATCAAATTTGAATGTTAAAACGTGAAATTTGAACATTGCCGTGCTAAGGAAAAATGCCGTATGAGCCTTCAGGCGTTGCCAAATCTCCTTCGATAAATCACGAATTTTCGGGTAAATTTGTAAATACTTTTCTGCGAATTTTTTGGAGGGTTTCGTTCATAATTTGAAGTGCCAGACAATTTCCAAGAAAAAAATGCTCATTAAGTTCTTCAAAAAGGAATATATCCTGATGGGCAAATTGGCAACATTTGAATGCTTATACGGCGTTTTTCCTTTGCACAGCAGAACAGACCTCAATATTTTTATGTGCAGAAATGAACCATAATTACTTCATCCCGCACCGTGTGTAACTGACTTTTTCCGTTTTCGGATATTCGGCCGTTCCCAAGAGTCCACTTCCGGTTTCACAACCGACTACGCTTCAAGTTAGCTGCGTAGAAGTTACTGCGTTCCAGGATTCGCGCGGGACTGATTAGTGATTACCGTGGCCTTTGTTGACGCTTGAATAGGGCTTTGAAACAATTCAAACCTTATCTGAGTCCAGTATCTCGGGGCCGAAATGGAACCGCCGCACACAATGGATCGAGTTAATAGGAGAGGTCGGACAGAATTTGAAAACTTAAAACACTTATAACTCCGTTTATACAACACTTTGAGGTTCATAAAGTAGTTCTATTGGTCTCCTCGTAAAAGTTTCGTCTTTTAGCACTCCTGAAAGTTTAAAATGTGACGAAATAAACATCGAAATTTGCAATATTAGTCGAAAATGTCCTGCCCGATCCCTCTCTTATTATTGACTCGATCCACTGTGCGCCACCTCTCAGCTACCAACGAAGGAAATACAGCTTATCGACACGGGATTTCAATTGGAGAAACGCGATTTTTGCTCAGAGGGCAGCTCTCGTAGGCGCCACTCATGCGCTAGGTGAAAACTACATAGCGCTAAAGGAAACAGCACGTCTGTGGTTTTTGATGGAACACATTTTTGGTCCCTCGGGCCGGATGTAACCTCGGATATATGCCTCCACCTTATAAATATTACAATAAATACAATTTTGAAAAAAAAAAAACGTAATTTCTAAAATGAGTCAGAATAATTAGTAGTTCCTTATTGCAAAATAAACTTCACTTGCTTCAGTAAAAACTGCACTTGTCTCTTCAAGCTCCTCAATTCAACTTGCAAAAACATTTGACACTGCTGCATGAGAGAGGAGTTCAAGTCGCAAAGATTTCACTCCGCATCTGTATCCCATATCCGATTTTTTTTTCGTAGGAACAGAGTCCTGAGTGAAATGCACTGAGGTGATACTCCAATGCAGATGCGCGGTTTTAACCCGGAACGGCTCTAAGTTCGAAGCGCGAGTGTGGCTTTCAAGGAGTCGGTGGCGTTCCTTATTTGAGCATGTGACCTATATCCGGGCGGGCGGTGCGCGGCGCACAGGAGCCTGGGCCACACCGGCGAACCTTGTCCGCGCCCGACCCACGCCGGCTCAAGGCCCATCATCGCGCCCATACTCAATACCGAGTCTATCAAACGCCCGTGCTGCTACATCGCTCGCAAAATGTTATTCCGGACGTTGAATATTCTCCTAGAATATAATAGATTACGGATATAAAGAATATAGAATATGGTAAGAATACGAGATAGAAATGCAGATTATAGAATTGAGTAAGAATAAGTAATAAGAATATAGAATATAGGATATAGGATATAGGATGTAGGATATATGATACAGGATATAGGATATAGAATATAGAATAAAGTATACAGAATTTAGATATAATAGAATAATAGAAGTCTTTTTAAGTCGAATTCCGCCAGTGGATTTGGTCAGGGCAGTCGTTTTATTCTCATCGATTTTTACAAATCCTCAGCTAGGGCCAATTTTTAAAACCAACATTTTTAAAATCTGCTCATTATTGAAAAGGTTATTGAAAGTTTCGTGACAGATTGAGTGGTGCAACCTTTATGTGAGTTCAAAACTTTGACGTGACCCCTGCTCTCCGTATCTCTCAGGATCTAATGGACGGATTTTCAACCCCCTAAAAAAAATTCAAAAATTCAAAAATTTGTCCCTTTCCTAACATTTTTAAAGGATCATAATATGTTTAAGTCTGCCCAAGCGTAAATCCTAAAAATTGTTTTAACATTTTTAAAGTATTAAATGAGTATCAGTATTGTAAGTATTGATGTATTTTTGTTTCATACTTTTTTTTTGTTTAAAATTTTCAAAATCGAGAGTTCAATATTGCTGCATTTTGCCATTTTTGCCCGTGATGGTTCTCCGTCAAATATGCTTCAAACTAGGATTTCACAAAATTAGAATGCTCAGTCGGCCAACATCACAAATTTTTCATTTAAATGCACAATCTGGCAATAACAAGGAGTAGTTGAGCAGTTTAGCGCACACGCCTATCGTCTTCGGCTCAGAGCATCTAAGCGACAAACGTGCCAATGATGGGTTTCGCCGCGCGCCGGATATTGACTCGTGATAAAGCGACTTCATTCATAAAAGAAACCGTGCGCTGTTGCGATGTTATCAATGGAGTATGGAGAATGGAGTAATGGAGCCCTCATCGGTGCTAAGCTGTCTGATATAGGTGGGGAACTTTGAGGAATAACATTTAACAGCTTGCTTAGGCAGTGGACAAAACGCCTAATTTGACTTTTTTCTTGTGACCTATCTACTTTAAGGATAAATTTTGCTGGAATTTAGACCTAGAGTCTCCATTTGGAATAATTTACCTGTACCTTATGTCTGTTGCAATTTGAAAATTGCGTGTTAAATGGTCAATTTGGCGGCCTCTGGCAATTAGTGTGTTTTCCCTTTCACGTTTTAGACTGGACGGAGTCAAATAGTAAACTGCGTCTAGCAGACTAGACATATCTAAAAGATGATTAAAAGAACCGAAGTGCCGTTGAATTTTAATGGAGTCTTAAGTGGTTTTGCTGAGAGCTATTGTATTCTCATTGATGGCACCATTTTTGTCACCCTTTGCTACTTTTGTCTCCGCCCCTTTCTCTCAAATGAACCTGTCTTAAACTATTATACTTGTAATAAAAGCTAAGCTTATTTATTAGCATTATTATAATTCGTGCACAATTACAAGAATGAGTTTCAAAAGATGCAAGCGAGAATGAGGCAGCATCTTATAACGACAGTATATGAGAAATAAAAATACATAAATAAAAAACAGTAGTAGGTTGTGAGACGCCTTTCTTCTGAAAGAAACTTCTCAGAAGGTAACCGCAAAACTGTCAAACTTCATTCACGCTTTTCCAGGTCATTCACTGTCATTTTCGCCGTACTATCTTTACGTATTCGCGCGAAAATAATATTTCTTGTGAACCTGCCGTAAACTTCTCTCTGACGAGTGTTTTTTGAAAAATCCTCTACGAATATCATTCAAGCGAGGCGCTTTCATCTCGTCTCTCATCCCATTCACAATTCTCCGTAACCTTTCGATCATTCTATCTTAAGGCCAATTTACGCAGAAATACTGGATCATATACAAAATTTGCTCTTATTCTGCGACTCTATATATAAACACCCATTCCAATCAAGCAAGAACCATATGTAACCACATGACATTTCAATTGGAGTTAAGTTGTTTTTTGTCAGTGCGTCAACACAAAAAAGACACTCCGTCGACTCCTGACTGGTAATCCTGCCAGCCTTCAATTACTGTTTTTGGAAGCAGCGGAAATAACACACTCACGATTTACGTCAACAAAAGTCTGTCTGAAGATCTCTTGCGAGCTGCTGAGGTAACCAATTCGCATCCGGTGACCCCTGAGTACGATTTTTTAAGGTAAATATGTATGGATTCTAAGAAATAAGTTAAACAAACGTATTTAATGGCAAAACATTTTACGATTTCATCATGCACAGTACGCTGAACTACCAGTGAAATTTTCCGTATTTAAGCGCGCCTCCGGTGAGATTTTGGCTTATTCGTTCCCGGTGACATTTTGTGCATTTATACAAGAGAATGAATGTTTCCATCAAAAATACGGATAAATCTATATGTAAAATATATAATTATTGTTGGTTGGTTAGTTGATTTACAACGATCAGCAACCAGGCTATTTACGTAAATTTTTAAATTCAATTGCTTAAAGAGTTTTACAATTTTGGTGACTATTATTGGATCATCTGAGCTTAAAGGGTGGATGTTCTAAAGGAGCGAATTTTGAATTTTGATGTGTGTGGCTTAGGTTTTTGGACAAGACTGCAAAATATGGTCGATTGTAAGGGAGGAATGTTGACATAGGGAGCAGAATGAACTTATGATGTTTTTAATAATATAGAGACACGACACGTAAATAAAGCCAGCATCAAAATCTTTGGGTCGAAATTTGACATAATTTACTGAGTGACGAGATTCTTAGGATTAACAAAAGACAAATCCTTGAATAAACTCCTATTGCTGCATGGAGAATTTTACTGGCCCGGAATTTTAATACGCCACAGTTTTTCTATACTTCCATGGGGAAAGTCATATCCGTTGTTGTAGCAACTGAAGGCTCTTAGCACGTGACGACTTCCCATGGCTGAAACTTTCTGCATTCAAGTGGTTGAAAAAACTGCAGAAGTTGCTTGACGAATGCACCTAAAAGAACTCGTTCAGCTTTTAGCAGTGATCGAAGTGATTTTGAGTCAACAGGTGGTGGAACCGGGTCTTACACAGGCGTTAAGAGATTCTATCGAAGCAGCAGTCTGAATATTAAAGTTTTACTGCTCCCTTATCAGTAACTTCGATCGATAAAGCCCTATCTTACAATATTATACTACGACCAGGTTCCTAGATTGAAAGTAAAATGAACGTTTATGCTAAAAAGAACTATATTACACGTAAACCCTATGCATATAGTTCCTTTTAGCATAAGTACGTCCAAATAATACCGGCCCCCGCGCGGAACTTGCGATAGGCAATGAGGCTGACCTAAGATAAACAGACGGTGACCCGTGAATGCTCGGTCGTGTGGCAGGATGTGGACGTACTGTATTTGGTCGTCATTAACCAGGACGATACTGTCAAGTCGTGCTGAGGTAAACCACCGCATGATCATTCGAATGTTGCGAGATTCCTTCCGAAGAAGATTAATTTTTAAGGAAAATCATGAATGAATATTTTTAAGCAAAATTTTCTCATGATTCTTCAACAACTCCGTTTATGCTTTACGGATTAGACAGATGGCACCCCAATTAATTATGGTAGTACCCCAATAAATTAGATAACTAACCCAAATGTTGCCGTACTACCCTGACTTGAGTTGCGGTGTAACCACAATTAATTAGGAATGTCCATATAATCCAACGCATTGGGGTAGTAATTTTAGGGGATAATCCCTTACACTTTTTTTTTTAGTGAAGTAATTCAGCATTATTCATCATCACAATTTTTACTAGACTTGGACAGAGATTTGGGAAAGAGATCGCTAGCGGCTCGTTCGGTATATAGCAGAAAATTCAGGAGGCTGAGCTGCACTGATGATGGTTCCAATGACCCAAAACGCGTTTGCAGTTGCCTTCCTGAATGCTCGTAACTAGTGTTGCACAAAACAGCGTATCTCTTTGAGGGAAAATAATGCTGCAACGAGTTTTTTCCCTCTGTATTGAGATGTCCAGTTTTCTGGACTTTAACACAAGTTGGCTACATTTCCAACGTACTGTCCACACTACCGTGCTAAGAAAGAACGCCGTATGAACATTCGAGAGTTGCCACATTTCCTTCGATGACTTGTTCATTTTTGAGGAAACTTATGAATATTTTCCCTTAAAATTTTCAGGACTTTTCAGTGGAATTGCGAACAAAATTATCTGAAAAATTGGCAGAAAATTGTTCATAAGTTGGCCAGAGCCGGATTTTCCTACTTGCCGCCCATGGGCCGCCTGTATTTTGCCGCCCCCTTCTCATTCGTGTTGAAACATCAATGAAAACCATCAAATGAACGTGCCAGCGGAGGAGGAGTGCATAAGACACGTCTACTCGTGTTGAACACATTTTTAAGGAAAGCCCTGTCAACACTACTAGCAAAAGGTCACGGAACTTTGCGCGAAAGTCAAGTTTCGTAAACCTATCTTTAATAGACAAGGCCTTCCATCCATAAGAAATGAACGAAAAAATTATGAAAGAACAAACACAACATTTGGTTTAATGATTTTAACTTCCGCCGCCGCGCCGCGCCAACCGCACCGTGTTTGGCGCAATGCGTGAAGTATTCATGCATTCTTGTAGGCGCTATCCGTTTCACGCTGACCACAATAACCGCACTGTGTTTGATGCAATGCGTGAAGTATTCGTGCAGTCTTGTAGGCGCTGATATGTGTTACATGCTGATTGCCGCGCGGAGGGCTTCTCCTTTTCATCTCAAGTCCTCGTCATCATTTCACCCTAAGTCGCGCCGTTCCAGGCCAGATTGTGTGTTTGGTTTCTCCCTTAACTCGACTAATTAAAGGTGCTGTCTCTTGTATCACTGAAAGACGACAAAATTAGAAATTACTTCACTCTCAGAAAATGAGAGATTTTGTAGCCTTTTCTCGTTTGTAATTTTTTTTTCTAAATCCGATTTTTTTTTATACCTACATTTAAAAAAATTGCAAAATTCGCCGCCCCCTAGATTTGCCGCCATGGGCCGCGGCCCATGTGGCCACCCCCTTAATCCGGCCCTGAGGTTGGTCAGAAAGTTTGTGTTTTATCAAGGGAAATTTGAAAATGCCTGAAGGTTCATACGACGTTTTTCCTTAGTGCGGTAGCATACTACTCGTGCGTCTATCGCAATCAGTTTGTTTTTGAAAGAGCTCCATGTTTCGACCAGTCCATACTCTTCGGCAAGTCCTCTATTTGAGACATGAATCTTAAAATAAACTAAGAGAGGTTATGTTCAGAAAAAATAATAATCAGAAAAAAACCTTGATATCGCACTGGACTTACCAGAAAAGTGGGTGAGGAGGATTCTGTGAGGACGGTGGTGGAGTTGGCGGGTTTCAAGTACTGGATGTCGTACTCCCGGTTCGACTCCACCAGTTTACCGTCCCTCTCCGTGGCGTGGGATCTGATTGTTTCCCTGTAGCCACTGGCTTTGACTCCTGGTCCGTGACCGTTGGATATCCCATTTTGCTTCGTGCCCGAAATCGTTGTCTGCAGGTCCTCTAGCAACGCGTCTGAAACACGTCAAAGGCAATCAGCGCTGAATAGCAATCCATAGAATGGGTATTGGGTGTATATATCGCGCTGCTGATGCGATAAGATTTACTTGCTCGATTAAATAAGATAATAAATAATATGCCAAAGGTGCTCACTTTGATGTCTCACCTTTGGCAAAGAATGTATTATATTATTTAATTGAATTACAGGGTGCATTATGAATATTAAACTTGATTAGTTGTTTGAGTCTTGTGCTATTGAAAAGTATAATGAAATCTGGACGTGCGTGTTCATGGAAACAGATTGATATGCTCGAGTACATTCTAGATGTTCTAACTGATATTGGCATCTGCCAGAATTATGGATGCACAAGCTCCAGAGTTATGGTTGATTTAACCACAATTCTTGGACTTGTGTAACTACACTCATGGCTCGTACACATTACCTTACCTAGGAATATGGTCTTATATTAGGTAAGATACGGTCACGGCTCTCTCTTGTTGAAAGGAGGATCTCAAAGGCTTGACGGATCGCTACCGATCCTTGTAATCATAACTTTTTTCGATGATTGTTTTATCCCATTCCAACGGACTAGGAATAAAAAAACTTCAAGTGAATAACCCTCAGGAGTGAAGAATTGCCATTTTTTAAAAGTATTTTGAAAGGTTCTTCATTTTCGAAGTTCGACTATGAAAAAGTTGTATTCGGTTAGAAACTCTCAAGTGGAGGAGTATGCATGCAGTCGCTTAAAACGTGTAAAAGAATAACCATACATCGAACTTACCCAGGTTATTTTCTGGTGAATTATGATTGAACCGAACTGCTGACGTCATCCTGAAACAAACAAAAATAAGGAAACTTTAAAATTGGATAAAAAAGATACATACATGGCTCACATATCATGACAAAATGACAGCAGAAAACATTGCAAACATTGCACAGAACAGTAACATTGATATTCCGAAGATCGCAATTTATTAGGGAGTTCAGATTGGTATTGATAACTGTCAAGTTAAAAAAGAGAGATCGTATCAGACATGATCGTATCTGACAGATCTTGAGGGTTGGAAGGACAATTGTGCACGATATCATGACCAAGCAGTTGGTATGGTATGGGCATGTGCAGTGAATGGCCGATACCATTGCCACAAAAGGTTTTGGAATGGGTTCCTGCAATGAGGGTCGTGGAGGGTGCGCAGCTAAAAGCTGGATAGATGACATCCAAAAAATATGGAGAATCTCTAGCTTCCAGAATATCTCTAACTTGACGATTTCAGTGGCGGTTAGGTGTCGCACAGCGCCCTAGTGCGCTATGAAAGCGAGCACCACATATGTTTATAATACAAGCGGAACCAATTGTGCATGGCATATATTATTTAAATTATCTGTCTGTTCACAGGAATCCACAACAGACATGTTGCTTTTGAAATGAACAAATAAGAGGGGAAAAATGTTCATTTTCATAAAAAATTTCCATTAAGAGATGATTAATGTGAGAATTAACACTAGGCTGATCTTCACGGATAGAGGGATGATATTTTCAAAGTTTTTCCGGCTTTTATGCTCAGACCTGATCAAAAACACTGAATAAAAGATTGGTAGAATTTACCATTCCTTCACACTGTATTTCACACAGCGTGAAGGAATGGTAAATTATACCAATCTCTAAGTCGATTCTGCCAGAGGAATGGTTACCTGTACCAGTATATAGTAATGTCTACCTTTCCTCTAGCAGAATTGACTCTCTTAATTAAGTCTGTGTGAAATACAGGGTGAAGGATTGGTAAATTCTACCAATCTTATCTTAAGTGAAGGAACCCGAAACATTACTCCTACAAATTTACACCGAAATAGGATACTCTTCGTCATCTCAATGGATCACGTAATGAGCATGGACCATTTGCGTAATAGTCCTTTTAGTGCATCTGTGAATGAAACATTTACGCGTGACAATCATTTACTCTAATTGGTTCAGTTGGGTTGAGTAGTTCAAAACTGTGTTATGTTTCGGATAACAAACGGGTTTTCGGAAACGCAGAAAGAGCCCGCGCAAATTGAAGGTAAAGAATTAACAGAGACGTAACAAGAAAATGAAGGCTAATTTTAGCGGACCAGATGATTCTGACGGATTTCGTGGAGTTTGACCCATTTGCCGGCCGGAATAGGGTCACTGCTCGAAATAACATTTCCCACTCAGGTTGTCACATCGCGAGGTATGTATGAATGCATTATAGTCCCGCTGTGAAGTCTCTACCACATCTGCAATGAATTTGAATTTTGAAAATGACATTCAATTCTAAAGACTATCTTTGCGAGGGACACGTCCGTGAAAAAAGAAAACGAAAAAGAAAAAAATTCAGTGGCAGTATAGTCGACATCGATATATTAGGAAGTCGCAAATTACGGACTTTCAGAGTTCATTTGAGATACGTTGAATCTTGAAAGTCCAATTTGTGTACACTTGGCAACATGACTGTGTGTTTTTTCGATTGTTTTTTATTCTTGTATAATTGACTGAATTGATAATTATTTTAAAATGAAATTGAGATTAAATTAGAATTGACTAAAATTAATATTACCACCAGCATCTCAGATTCACTACAATTTTTATTTTTCTTTTGGTCATTTACGAGAAAAATCCATTCTATTCGTCTGAAATATGAGTTCAGAAAAATACAAAAAAAAAGAACCATATAAGCCACCGAAAATTGAAACAGAAGCTGTTTAGAATGAACGTACCTCAAAATTGTTCCGTTTCAAAAGATGACACTTGAAAACTCGAACTCGAATTGTCGAAAAAAGTGTTTTGATGTGTTGCAAACTTACCCGTAAAGTTCATTTTTTTATGGAGAAAAACCAAAGTATTTTCGATGAAAATAAGAATTCAAGTTTCGAAATTTCAAAATTTTTCGTCGCTTACGTAAAATTCTCGAGCTTCATCCAGAAGATGTCAATAAACGCGGAAATTTTGAGAGCCCACGGTCATGATTTTTAGGATTCTTCAGTTCTACTTTTTACATGCAATTCTTAAATAAAACATAATAGCAGGGAAGAGCATAAGGGCCTAGATACACACGGCGACTAATCGCCGCGAGTGAAAGACGGAAGCCAATGGAGAGCCTTGATTTCGATCTTTTGACGTCGATATATCGAAATCAAGGCTCTCCATTGGCTTTCGCCTATCCATCTCGGCGATCAATCGCCGTGTTTATGGGTCTTAATCGACAGACAAAAGTGGCAACGGCAACGACTGACTACCCCACACTGACACGAAGATCAGTCAGTATTATTTTTCCAGCTTTTGTTTCATCTCACTCTTGTTTTCCCGCCAAAATTTTCAGTGATTGACAACACTGCCGTGTATCCGAGTTTCTTCCCCGTTGCCCGTCCATTCGATTTACAGTTTGTTGACGTTGAAATGCACCACTCGGAGGACATCAGCCAAGTAGGCCGATACTTTCAATATTTCCCCTTTTACCCAGTGCCTCCGTGAGGGAGAGGGGGAATTGGGAACATGGAAAATTTACAGGAAAAAAAAAAAAAAACCACACGCAACAAACGGACAGATGCCATTCATCCATCGGCTGGACACACAGTGGATCGAGTCAAGAGGAGAGGTCGCACAAAATTTGGAAACTTTAACCACTTATAACTCCGTTTATACAAAACTTTACAGTTCTGAAAGTGGTTCCGTTGGTTTCCTCGTGAAATTTTCCTCTTAAAGCACCCCTAGAAATGTAAAATGTGACGAAATACACCAAAATTTGCAGTTTCGGTCTAGAAACTTCATGTCGACTCTATCCCTTGCGCGACACAGGGAGGCAGACTTGTCAAAATATTCAGGTGCAAATTGATCTGAGCCTCCTTCGGTGGGAATTTTTATATCAAGACACCGGAAAGAATTAGACTGTTACAACATTACACCCACATGGATCGGTATATTTCAAAACCGGGTATTACCTAGGATTTTTTGCGAGAACTTTACACCGGCTTCCTTAAAATACTTCATCATTGATTTGTTTTTTGTTTTTTTTTTATGAACTTAGACCTCTTGTGCTCCGATTTGATGATCCTGGTGGAATCAGTAATGTAAGGAATATTTGCTACAGGCTTTGGGTCTTGTCGCATCGGGCTATGTATTAACCGTAGGTTATTTTAAATTTCTGACTTTTTCAAACTCTTCAGCGAAAAAAGGTTAAAAATATGTTAAAAGATGCGCGCTTAAATGTTAGCTGAAATGATCATGAAACAACTTTGCCGCATTCGACTTTCTTGGATCGAACTCAGTCCACATTTAGGTCGGTAAGGTTGTTATTTGAACAACCAAAGTTCGGAAAATTGACAATGTCGCGATGAAAAGCAGTAATAGTGTAATTCAGCGGCATAATCGGCAGCGCTGGAAATAAATTACGGTGTAGGAGAAACAAAGCAAAGCGCTCTCAGTTAGTGTCCAATGCGACGAAGCTGTACAAACATTTCAACTCCCAGATGCAACTATTCGAACTCTACAGATGTCCGTATTGCATATGCATGAAAGCGAAGGCGTTTTGACTGTTCTGGCCCTCACAACTTCATCCACGACCCGCACCCTAGGGTGAGGCGCTAAAGACAGGCTTAACCGCGAGGCTCCAAAATGTCAGAGCGCTTTCCAGAATCCACGCCCACGCAAGTTTACGCACACTATTAGACTGCGACAAAAGATCCGAAATTTTGATTCTTCCATTTGCTTTACGTGTAAAAGTGACGTCAGATGATCTTCCATCGCAGTCTTGAAATGGGTAAACTTATTTGGCGTCGATTTTAACTCCTAGGCACGAATGGTTCGATACAGACGTAGGATGTGCGTATGTTTTGGGCTTCAGTTTAGATATCTTAGATGTGCTGAGCATGAATTGTAGCAGGCCCGGAATTAGGGGGTGGCCACATGGGCCGCGGCCCATGGCGGCAAATTTTGTAATATTTTAAAATATAGGTAAAAAAAAAAATCGGATTCTGAAAACGAGAAAAGGCGAAAAAACGAAAATAGCGCCTACAAGACTGCATAAATACTTCACGGATTGCGTCAAACCCAGTGCGGTCAGCGCGGCGCGGAAGTTAAAATTATTAAACCACATTTATGTTTGTTGTTTTATAATATTTTCGTTCATTTCTTATACATGGAAGGCCTTGTCCACATAGAGATAAGTTTACGGAACTTAACTTTCGCGCAAAGTTCCGTGAAATTTTGCAAGTGTTGACACGGCTTTCACACAAAATGTGCCCAACACGAGGAAACGCATTTTATGCTCACTCACCTTCCCTCCGGCACGTTTCCTGCAAAAGTTTCAAAGAAAAATCTCGGAAAAACGAAGACCATTCGTATTCTCATAAAATGAAATACGTCGGGAAATATGCATATTAATAAGCCTAAATACGCGTGTACGGAAATGATTTCCGAGATGCATTGGTGAAACTTCAGCCCGATGGAGTCTAATAAAAATCTAGGTGAACATTACATTATTCTGCTCTTTCCCTCCTGAAATGTCGGCCGCGTCTGGTTGAATTTAATCTGCTCCAAGTCGCAAGTTTTTCTCCAAGGGACGTAGCACATTCGGACATTAAGTTTTTCTCCGACGCTCGCGACCCTCGACGAAGCGCCACTTGAGTATCGGCCGATTTTAATTACTTCGCAAGGATTAACTCCCAATTCATACAACCTTATTATTAATTACTTTGCGCTCGCTCGGCTAAGCATCCGCTGGAGAGGGCGGGGCCTCTGCCACCGGGGGGGAGGGGGTTGGATTTGCTAATAATACCGAGGCGCGTATTTGCGTTGTTTTTGTTGGCAAGATCCT